GAAAATTATTTTCGGTTAAGACTGAGTTTCATTGAAATAAGCATTGAAGTCAGAATCAAAATTATTGTCTCGATTAAACCAAGGTTGAGAGAATCGGTTTTGATTTTAATTTTTAATTTTTTAATATTAAAATCTATTGTTCAATGGATTAAAACCACTGATTCAATATATCCGCGACACCTATTAACTAATAGTTGAATCCAATATGATATAACTTGTTTTCGTAAGCGTCAATCAAGAAAAGTAGAAAAGGGCATAAAACTTAATCCCGTTGAACCTCCTGAAAATGTGCGTTTACGGAGTGGATATCATAGTTAAGCATCAAGTTCAAAACCAGGTTGGCCACTCTTTCTTTATCCCCTTCGTCAAAAAGGATAGCAAATAATGTCAATCTATCCACCTTTTTCTGTTTTGGCTGTTTCTTTTCACCTCACATGCAACTAGTTTTTGCATTTCGGTGTGTTCTTTTGTATGCGAATCTTCAACCATTTTAGACTTTAGACTCCTCTCTATGGTTAGATTTCACCTGCACAGTTATATATAATCTTACACAGCTTTTATTAGAGTATGTTTGGTGCTGAGGATAGGTTTGTGTGTGCCTGTGTATTGTTAAAAAAACAAATTGAAATTATTATCAAAATTATAAAATTTTAAAAATCATCTTAAAATAAAATTTTTAATAATGTTCGATCAAAATCAATGTAATGATTTTCTCAACAACATGAAACCGATGTAATTAATTACGTTTTTATTTAAATTAATCTAACGAGAGAATTCATTAATTAGCGTGTTTTAAAAAATTTCTTATACACAACTACCAATATTCATAAAGATTGCTTTAAAATTTTGAGTTTAGATGCTGTTATGATTAACTTTACTCTCCTACATAAATATTTTTTCAAATGAAAGGGAGGGATTAGATCCCCAAGAGAAACTACACAGCCTGTATAGGCCAAATAGTCACGGTTCTATCGGCATCAATGAAGGCTCTCAACAGATTGGTAGGGGACTCAACGACATGAAACCTCGATCAACCAATAGAGCATTATTGGCCAAAATATCTGAAACATTATTTGACAATAGTCAAAGAGTACAAGAGTTGCAAAATTAATATTTTTTGTACACAAGGACAAAGTAGTTCAACAACAACAAATATTGAAGACTTGTCAGTAATTTCTTTAAACTTGAAGGATGAAATAATAATTTTAATGAAACTTCAGGGATTTCATAGTAAGTTGCCGTTTTAATTACTGTTTGATTTTATAAGCGGATCAAATTTGAGTTTCAAAAAATTCTCTCTTTTTTTTTGAACTTTTTTAGAACAGAAGTTATTTTTCATTTCAAATAAGAAGTTTTTTTTTTTTTTTTAATAAATATGCCTTTCAAATTTATTATGGGACTTAAATATTTCAATCAAATCTCAATATGTATACGCGTGACCATTGGTTCGGCTCATTGGATATAGTGATCAATTATTCACTTGATCAAATTATAATTTGGATATACATATATATAGTAATTTGGATAGACAAAACTTCAGACACGGTATACTCCCTCCGTTTTATTTATTTGGATAAAATTTTCATTTAGGGTGTCCCATTTATTTAGAGAAATTTGCTATTTTTGGTAAAAAAATTAAAAGTACAAAGTCTATATTGCCCTTTACATAACTTTCAATATTTAAAAATATCAAGATAGTGGGAGACAAAGTATAGAAAACGCATTTAATGATGTTACGTTTACAAGGCAATTGTTTTATTCCTTTCTCTCTCCACTTTAATTAAAAATGTACAAAAAATCAATTTATGAGTACAATTTTAATTCTCTGCACCTTTCTTATAATTCTCTTCGAATGACAGTGCACAACTTAGAAGATTGTGCTCATTCTAAACCCTAAATCAACGATTTTCAATTTTAATTCATATTCAGAAATTGAAAATCATACCTCTTTAAACTCATACCTCCCAAAATCCCCCGCCTCCATCTGACAATATTGTGTGTTTATTTTCTGTTTATTAGTTGTAATGACAATGTTTGTTCATTATTTTGTAAACATGTATTAGCAGTGCTCATTCAAAAAGTTAGTGCACACCTTTTACTCATCTATGTAAATCCAGAAAATACAAAATGTATGCAAACTTAATATAAAGTGCACATATGCACTGAAGATGATTAAAACAAATACATATAAAATGCTTGCAGACGCAATATATGTGTTCTGCAAGATTTACTTCGATTATTCAAATCTTTTAATCTTAAATTGTTACTTTTGAATTTTAGTCATTAATCGGTTTTATCCGGAGAAGAAAGAATGACATAATTGACTTTAAGTAATCAAAGCAATGTTGAGGATAAATTTGAAAAAATTTTCCTTTTCTTAATTTTTGTGCAAATTAACTTTTGTCTAAATAAATGAAATGGAGTGAGTATTAAGTTAATTGTCAACTTGAATGTTAATGAATAAATCAACGTGTTTATATGTGCTTTGGGATGTGGCACTTTGTTACTTGGACAAGGTCTCGAGTTGAGATAAAGATGGGATTTTCTTTTAGATTTTGAATCCAACAGTAGGCAATAATCGGTCTGATTCAACAGTTTTTACTACTCTCTGTTTTAAAATACATGTCGTTTAAGGTTTTTGTACAATAATTAATGAAGCAATTAGTTTTCCTAGATTATAACAAATTTAAGGATAATTTAACCAAATTATCATTTATCTCAAAATCAATAGTTATTTATGAAAATATTTATTGTATCTAATTTAAACAAGGACAATATTGAAAAAATATCATTTATTAATCCTTAAAATACTCAAAACGAGTTATATTTTAGGATAAAATAATTATCCAAAAACGAGTTATATTTTGAGACAGATGAGTAATTTTTATCTCGTTTTTTAACACTTTGTCTTAAGTATCTTCTAGAATGAATTATGGTCCGATTTTCTATTAAATTGACTGACTAATCGATCCAATCTGGAACTCAAAATCATGGTTTGAACTGAAAATTTTTTAAGTGTTACAATCCAATTTCTTAGTTTAGACAGAAATTCAAGCCAATCAAATGCTAACACAGTTATATATATATAGTCCTACTTTGATTTTCACATGGATATAGAAAAACTAATTTATGCAGTTGAATTATATTTTTTTGTATAGTTTTCTTTTCAAAATATCTTTTTATAATATTAAATGATGGATATCAATTTCAAATATGAATACACATTAAATATGGTATTAAAAAATTAGATGATAAATGATCTTTTAAAAAAGGAAATAGAACTATATTTTTGGGACATACGAAGGAGAGAGTATATATTTTTGCTACAGGAGCCAAAATAATTTTGTTCGAAATCAAGACTAAATCAAACTAAAATTTTCTTACCTCTAAACACGTGACTTATTATGGACCAAAAATACTATTCCGGAAACCTCACGCTCACGGCATCAAAATATCACGAAAAGAATTACACATATTTAACTGCAAATACTAAAAATCAAGGGATATGTTTTATACTTTCCCAATATATTAAAGCAAATTTAAGGGACTTTTTTGTAATTAAGTCAATTTCAATGAGCTTTTTTAGAATTGCAAAGTATGATGACGTCACTATCACTTCGTCATAAAGACAGGTGTCAAGTTAATGTCTCTTTCGCTTGCTTAACGACTATGGACCATTGTCCTTCTTTACTTCTGTCTCCCGCATGCAATGAATCTTCATTTTCTGCCTATCAACAATGATGTTGTTAACAAATTTTCCAATCAAAGAATTATACGTGTGTTGAAGATACAAGTGGACATCCAAAAAATTAATTTTTTGTGAATTCAAATTTTAACACGTTTAATAATATATAATTGCGAAATGCATAAATTGACATTCAAATTTGTCAGAAAATTTTAGTGACATCAACTATTAAGAAATATAAAAATTATTATTCATATATGTTTTATTTAAAACTTTTATGATTTGATTTGATTTGAAAAATTTTAAAATCAAACTATCAATTTGGTTTCAATTTTAAGATTAAAACCACTAAAACCGAATCTAATCAAATTAAGCTAAATCGAAGAAAATATATCTTTTATATATAGAACTTTTATTTTTATGTTTTCTTGAAAAAGAATATTTAAAATATTTAAGGGATTAATATATTCTTTTTGAATCAAGAAATATATAAAAATTAATTTAAAAACTTCGAACAACTACTTAAAAAATCATGCGTGAATGTATTTATATTATTATTTGTATTGATTTATTTTTCCATGTTTAGTACGGTAAATCTTTCTTTTTTCTTATTAAATAGATGGATGAGGATTCATCTAGTTAACTAAATTGAGAGAAAAGTTTAAGTAATGCAGAGGATACAATTAATTGTGACAATTGAATGGTATTTTGTCTTCTTTTACGCCGTTACATCAAATCAAACCACCACTCAATATTTAGTATGATTTGAGCTTTTGATGATTTGGTTTGGTTGATTTGAATGAACTTTTTAAACCATCATTTTAGGTTTGATTTAATAATTAAGATTAATAATCTTCTAATTTAAATTTGTAAGTTACAATTACGATTACTTTTGAATTATGATATGATCTTAACATCTATATAATATATACCCTAATTATTTTTTAGTTTTATTTCGTTCTTTTGTTGAATTGGTTATAGTAAAGTAATTATTTTTTAAATAAAATCAAACTGTCTGACTGAATCAATACGAACCGAATCAAATCAACATATTTTGTCTGATTCCCAAATTTACTTAAATGCGATTTGGTTTCAGTAAAAACTCACGTTTTTAGTTTTTAGTTTTTGCGGTTCGGTTCACCAGCATACAAACCCTACAAAAAGTATATTTAAATTGAAATTTAGTACCAATTACATTCAATTTTCAGAAAGTATAAGGATTCAAATGTAAATTTAGTTAAATGTTAGGGTGCAATTTCTTCTTTTATTATAATTAAAGGGTTATTTTATTATTATTATTTTGCTAATAAATTTCCATCAAAAGCAGGCAAAACGCGATGAAAGCTATTCTTCGTACGTAGCTTTATCTTTTGCCAGAGCAGTGTTAAAAGTTTTTCCTTTTGGCCATGAGTGAAGTTTCCTCCCCTCCCACAGAATCCTCCATGTATGTTCTCTTTTACTCTTTTTTCTATTTTCTCTGATGTTTTCTTCTCATACTGCATTATTATTCTGTAATATTATTCATATTCTTCATCTTTTCTGAACCCAAATGAAACTTTAGATCAATCCAACAGATGGGTTTGCTTTTGATCTTGAAACTTTCAGTGCATCACTTTCTCTCTGTGTTAAGTCTGTCTTTATTTTCGTTTCTTTTCTTTTTTTTTTTTCCCCTTTTGGACATTACCATGCATGTGCAGGTGTTAATCTATTTTTATAAATGAAGTGGGTGAGTTTATTTATTTTTGGTCCATCTATGCACAGATCTAGCTAGATCTGTAAAGATCTAAAATCCACATTTTTTTTCCCTTGTATGTTTATGTAATAGATCTAAGCCTTTTTAGGCCAAACTAATTAGGATTTAATTGTTTTCTTAATATCTTAATAATTATCAGTTTGTTCTCATCTGTCTCCTTCTGGTCTCAATCATTATAAACCCTACCATTAATTACTAATTAAAATGATTTACTTAATTAGTTTATTTTCATAATAAATAATTCACTGATTTGGATTTATTCTTTTTTTTTTTTTTTTTTTTATTAAAATGAATTTACTTAATTAGTTATTTTCCAAATAATAAATAATTCACTGATTTGGATTTATTCTTTTTTTTTTTTTTTTTGCCTCATATATACAAGGCATTATTTGTTTTTTCATTTCTCATCAGAGAGAGCATTCCATAAAATTACTTCTACTTTATTTCTTACAATTTAATGTAATAGTGTAATTAAACGTATTTTCTTAATCTAATATTAGACCAAAAAATCATTTCAATCATATTAATTTTATTTCACTCCATCGCGACTCACCAAAACATATTCTATAGTTTTTGCCTAATACTCGCTTTTTTTTTTTTTTTTGTCCCTTCTAATAACCCTATTTATTTTTCCTGTAAAAGGGAAGTTGAAGATCAGGAAAATGAGAAGAAACAAGATGTTTTTTTTTTTTTTTTGTCTTCTAATAACCCTATTTATTTTCTGTAAAAGGGAAGTTGAAGATCAGGAAAATAGAGAAGAACAAGATGTGGATCTTCAGGAAAGCCATAGATTAGTGTTTCCAGAAGATGGTTATGAATGGAGGAAATATGGCCAAAAATTCATTAAAAACATTGGAAAATTCAGGTATATATTGATAAAAAATATAGTATTTGTCCATCATAGTTTAACATTGTGATTAGTAATAAAAGGTTTTAGACCAGTGAATAATGAAGGTTCACCTTTCAGGAGCTATTTCAAGTGCCATAAGCAAAACTGCAATGCTAGGAAGAGAGTTGAATGGTCAAGATCAAATCCTGATTATCTTAGGGTAGTGTATGATGGGGTGCACACACATGCAGCAGATCAGTCTGGTTCCTCCCAGGGCACTTCAACTGCTAACCAGTACAACTTGTTGACACAAGTTTTTGGAGATCAACCAACTTCACAATAGCATTATTAATATATAATTTAATTGCTGATTACATATTATTATTCTTGCAGTGAGACACTTTTCTTATCAAAATTTAAGCCTGTATATAATGTCTTTCTATGTAATTTGATAGCTAAGCTCTTCCAAATCCTGGTCAAATGACGTGCGCCTGCAGAAAGGGATAGACACGAGTAGGTGTTCATTGGATGGATGTATTTCACAACAAGCAATTATGATGTGACACCACAGTCCTTTATATGTGATTAATAGATTTTATTTGGTTTAAATCATCCGATATCTGAAGTTCATTAGCTCCATCAAATGCAATTTGTGCCGGATAGGCCCAAGGAAAGAGGTAAATCACTTTCTTCTGAGTGTATAAAGAAGCTTCATATTCATGGTTCAAACTCAAGATTTCTAATAAATGGAGAAAGAAATTTTGGCATGCCATCGAACCTTTACCTTTCGGAGATTATCACTCGGTCCTAAAATGAGATTGAACAAATCTTTTTTATGAATGAGTAAATATAATGTGATATCACCTCATTCGATTAGATTGTACAGATGTTCATTTATTCAATTGTTGAGTTCTCTTAGACGTTCCGAAGTTTTAGAATTAATTTTTTAAATTTTAGTATGTTGCTAATATCTAAATAATTGAAGTTAGGTAAAAACATGAAAATCGATTTGTGGCTTAAGGTTGCCGGTTGCCAGCAAGTAAAGCGGCTTTCCTATCGGTCATAATGCTCTATGAATATAATTTGAGGAGTATTCAAAGAAAGTCAACCTAATTCAAAGAAATGCAATTTGAAATTCAACCTAATGCTCTATGAATATGATTTTGATATATGCTTTAATTTAAATTGTAGTTTGTGCAATTTGAAAAAGAAAATTACCAATTTTAATATATGAAGTGATATATGGTGCAAGTAAATTAGAGAGAGAGAGAAAAAAAACAACTATCAGAATATGATATCAAAATTACATATAAAATTGAAATTATCTTCCATATATTATTTAATCAACGGAAAAATATTTTTGGCTCAATTTGAGTCTAACACAAGTTTTGGAGCGAAAGTTGAAAGGACAATATTAATTCTAGGAAATTACTTACATATATAGGGTCATAGCTACAATTATGAACCAAACCAATGATAATAAGAATTCTTTAAAAAATGTTCTAACTTTTTTTTCCCAGTGTATGGTCAAGGACCTTATTTTCATTGGATTAGTTTATAAGTGAGGCTATGGACCTGATCTAGGTAAAATTTTACCATTAACTCTATTAGTTGTAGGGGAATAGTTTAATGAGAAGGAGAGAGAATGAAATTGTGTAGGACTATATTAGTAATTGACCTTATTAAGTTCGAATTTGTGTCGGACACAAATTGTAGCGTTTAAAAAGATCCTTAATTAATTTTCATTTGTAAAGGATTAAAAAGATATTCTTTATGATATATATTCTTTAGAGTATTGAGTAAGGGGATTTAAACCTAGATATATTGTCAGGTCGTATATGCATTTACTAATAGACCATGCCTTGGTGTGTATGATTTTATTTATTTATTTATTCTTTGATTGTTTACATTATTTATTTATTTATCAAACCCAAAATGTGTAGATATATATATGTCTAATTTAATTCAAAATACCAAAATGGATTGGTATAAATAGAAAAATAAATGTTAACATATTTTTGTTATATAAGAAAATCTTCAAATTCTCATAAAATTAGAAAGTAATTTCGTCAATTAATTAAAGTTTTCATATTTTTCTCCAAAATAAAAATTTTAAGCCTAATATTTTTTAGTTTTTTATTATAAATCTCCAATCAAGCCTTTATGAGTTAAACTCTTGAAACTCTTATATACCATTTGGAAAGAAAATCAAAATAAAAAAATTGTTCAAGTTTTCCTACACATTTTACAATCTATGCTCTGTTCGTTTCTGAAAAAAATTTATCTTTTAAAAAAAATTTTAAATAATTATTTTTCCGTTATTTAGTTACAATATTAAAGATTAGTTAAAAATATTAAAAATTTTAATTTATAACACCATAAAAATATTTATAATTATAGAAGTTTAATATTTTATTATTTTATTATTTAAATATGAGAAAAAATGTATAAAAAGATGATAAATTATAATAATCACTGGTGAGCAGAGTGGTGGCTATCGTGATTAATAAATTAGAAATGTTTATAGATATGGTTATAATATATTTATTAATGTCTGATAAATATTTTTCTATTTTGAAAATGAGAAGCCATTTAAAAACAATTTAGTTTTCTATTGACCAAAAAAAATATTTTTCCTAGACTAATTTTTCTGAGCATCCCAAATATCAAAAACTTTAGAAAATATTTTCTAAGCGAATCATTTTTCGAAAAAAGGGAGCCTCAATGCTAAAATCACAAAACAAAGAAGAAAAAAAAACATATATCCCCTTTGTACCAAAATATAAGATAGTTTTTACATGGAGATTAAGAAAATAATTAATTCTCTTAAATTATAACAAAATCAAGTGTGTAAGACTAAATTACTTTTTATTTCAAAACTAAGAGTAACGTATCAATATAGTTACTCCCTCCGTTCCACTTTAATAGTAATATTTCATCGTTCTATAAAATTAAGAAAATAATTGGAACACATTGATCGTTTAAAATACATAATAGAATATCTAAATTGCCCTTCTCAAAATTAAAAACGTCACATTTAATTTCACCACAAAACTAATTTTAATTTTATCTCATATTAAAGCACCACTATAAGAGCAGTTCTTTCATTTCATTTTTTCATGCCTTGATATAATGAAAAACTTTTGGTTATATGTATTGTCAAAATTTTAATTTAATTACAAGTAAAATAATGATAAAAAAGAGAAAAATAAATGTAAACATAAAAATAAATTACTCTTAATAAATATGGGTAAAATTGAGAAAAGTTTATTAATATAATTTCAAAATTTTAAATGACCACTTAAAGTGGAACAAAGTAAAATATATATTTGTTGCTATTACAGTGGAACAATGGAGTATTATATCTAATGTAAATAAGGTAAGGAAAAATAATTATTTCGTTTCTAACATTTGACCAAATTAATTAACTCGTCCTACAGTTTGACAATATTAATTAATGGACCTTAAGATTTACTTCCGTCAAATTATTTAATCTTTTCGTTTATGTTTTTTATATTTTTCCATTAAAATGAGTCGAGAAGTAGGAGAGAAGTGAGAAAATTAATCTATAATCACAGTAATAGCCCTTCTTGTCTTTTGGAATATTTTCCCAATATCTCTTCCAAACCCTTCCTCTCTTTCTATGCGCCACTTCCTCTCTCACTCAATCCATCGATAGATCATAACTGTCTCCTTCTGCTCATTTCTTTGTTTCCTCATGACTTATCTTTCTTCCTTTGGTGGTTGTTAATAATCAATAAAAAGAGAGAACCTGATGATAATTCTTAGAGGGAATAACTAAACCAGGGGCGATGGCGGCTACAGCTCCAGAACAAGTTTCTATTCATACCTTAGGAAAATCATCATATCTTGTTGTTTGAATAGTTTCTATTCATATTTTGTTATATCTTGTTGTTTGAATAGTGTTTGTTCATATTATGTTATTATTTCTTTCCTTTCTTTTGAAATTTTTGAGCAAGATCTTGACCCATATGCTTTTTCCTCTATTTACTAGGACAAGTTTTTGAATGGTAACTTAAAAATTCAATTTTTATTTATGAGTTATTTCTTGAAACTTTGATGGTGCCAAAGATCTTTCTATCTTTTTTTTTGGCTTCAAGCTTGGTATGTAGCTTATAATTATTCTTTTTCCAGAGCATATTTCAATTTTACTTTTGTTTTGATTTCCTCATGCTTTGATTTGATTTGAGGAGGAGATGTAAATGAGAAGATGGGTTATTGTATATCAAACGAGTGGAGTTATTGAAGCCATTGATGAATGTTGGCCTTAGGTTGATTTGCTTTACCGTTATGGCTTTAATGTTAGGGTATTTTTGTTTTTTCACGTGATTTAACGGAAAATTTTAGTAAAATAGACTGAAGGAATAGTAGTCAAATAGAGGTAAACTTCGGAGACTGTTAATTAGTATTATCAAACTGCAAGGATGATTTAGTTAATTTGATCAGACGTCAGGGACTAAATAATTATTTTCCCTAAAAGTGATATTGAAAAAACATTATCTGTTACTCCTGAAAATATTCAAAACAACTTATTATATATTGGGACAAAATAATTATCCAAAAACAACTTATATTTTGGGAGGGATGAAGTATTAAACAACTTTAGAAAATGCATTTTAAAATTCTGAAGTTGTTTAACTTATTGAATTAAACTTGCTTTTTTAAATATATAGAAAATGCAATTTTAAAATTCTGAAGTTGTTTAAATAACTTATTGAATTAAACTTGCTTTTTTAAAATATATATATAATATATAATATATATATTATATATATATATATATATTTTATATATATATTTTTTTTTTAAAAAGGTTTAAAACTTTAAACTATATAAAATGAAATTCACTTAAAAATTTTAAATTTGAATAACCTATTATCAACATTTCAAATATAATGATTTAATTTTTAAATTCACATTCAAACAAATTATGATCTTCTATCAGTTGAATCCAATCAAATCGAATTAATATAAAAAAATAATCAAATTTTTATAAAATAAATCAACTTAAATTTATTTATTGATTTATAAAATCAAATCAAAGAGATTCGGTTTTGTGGTTTAATTTTGACTTAATTTTTTATTTAAGTTATTTTAACTTTTAAGATTTTTAGGTTTTCAGTTTTATACAATAAAAACTGACCTCAACTGCAACATTTCAATTTTTTCGATTAAAACTGAAATCAAATCGAATTGTTTAAATTATAACCGAACCAATCGGTTCAGTTTTACCCAATTATGCTCATTCCTATCTGTATCCTTAAATTTTTTTATTTGCTGGGCCATAAAACTAGACACTATTCGGCTTGACTTACTTCATCAAAAACGGTTTTTGGAAATCTAAGCCCATAATCAATGGGCCCACCATGTCAACGGTCCAGATTCAACCGCTGTTTTTTTGCGTAACTAGAAAGAGAAGAAAACAGCCCAAGCAACACAGCAAATCAAGTCATCAACTTCAAGGAAGCTTCACGATCATCAGACTTCACTGCTTTACTTAACACTAATCTTTAGCTATGCAGACGCTACTTCTGCCGGCCGGTCGTTCAGCGGCAGCTGCGACGGCTTTAACACTCTGTCCGCCACTTCCTCTCCTACACCGACACCGGCAAACAACTCTCCAACCACTCAATTCTCCTAACTGTTGGCAAAAACTCAAATTAAAGCAATCAGTCTCATACCCTTGCGCTTCATTGTCTTATGATCCTCTTAAAAGCAGGGATTCGAATCTCTCCTTTACTAAAACAAACGCTTCTTCTCCTTCTTCTCCACTTTCTCCATCTTTCACTCCCTCAAACGACGACGTTGAGAAGGCCAAGCTAGCTCAGGTCCTTTTCTTCTCTCTCTATCTGAAGGATTTGTTTTTTAATTATTTTGTTTAGGTTTTTTTTTTTTTTTTTTTTTTTTGTTACGTGTAGGTAGCGAAGAGATTAGAAAGTACGTCGAGGTATTTTAAGAGGCTTGGCAGTTTAGGGTTTTGGGGGCAACTGGTATGTACAGTTGTAGCAGCTGTTATTCTTTCGTTTTCTGTTGTAGTCACTGGGAAAATCTCTTCCCCTCCCACTTTCTATGCCACTGCTGGTGGGATCGCAGCTGCATTTATTTCAGTTTTCTGGTCATTTGGGTATATTCGGCTTTCTGATAAGCTCCGGAAAACTGCTAATGACCCTTCAAAGGTATTGTAATTTGAATTATTGTAGAATAATGATTTTCGCATTTGGTAGTTTATTTAATTTGATTATTTGCATAAAACTCTATAACGCTTAATGTACAACAAAATGTTTGGATTGAATGAATGAGGAATTCGTTTCATTTTTAAATAAATTCCATTGATGAGATTCATTTTGTAAGTGAATTCTCAAGTTTGGTTCTAACTAATAATACAGAGTTTATTTGCAAAGTCAACACTTTTAATTAAATCAAAGTTTTATAGGTCATTGCAAATTCTATCAATTTGATAGGATTCGGTTCAAGCATGATCAATTCTGTGGAATTAATGATTATGCCATAATCATTTCATGGAATTCATGTACACCGAACAAGTTAGAGAATTTTGAAGTGATTGGAATAGATAGAATTCTTTTTTAGTCCTTGTGTTTTAAGTTCTGAGTTTCACTTGTGTAATTATATTGCTGAAAGGAAATCTAATATGCTCTCTACCTGTCAATAGTTTGATTTAGCAAATAAATTTTTATGTCTTGTTAATCCTTTAGTGAATTTGTGACCTTTTAGTAAACATCTTCAATAATCTATCAAGTAAAATAGTTCTGACAATTTAAGTCGGTACAGCCTTAGTTGAATTAAAAATCATTTGAAAATGGGTTGAGTCATAGCTATTCCAAATATTCTTTTATATGCATAGCTATTAAGCTTTTATTGTTTACACTTGTGCAATTTTGTGTAAACGAACAAAATGGGCAATAGGTTGGACAAGGTCCATTAATGTACAATGAGAGGTTCATTTTTCTTGCAGTCATTTGTGAAAGTTTGGTACAAAGTGCTGACTTGACCTCAGAAACTAAATGGCTTCACACAAAATTGAGGCACAACATTTGTTGGACCATTAAAGGAACATCAAATTGTGCAAGTATAGTCACTGATATATTGTCTTGTGAAGGGAGAAGAGTGATGAATGAACAATCACTGAACCATTTTTGGTCTTTACAAGGATGCTGTTTTCCTTTGTTAAGTCTTGCTAATGACTATGGACTCCTGATTGCTGAGTGTCTTCTTGAAGTGACTTTTAAATTGTATTTGAGCTGAGGGTGTCCCTATTTTTTCTCTTCTATGTTATGAATTTCATTGGATCATGCAACTAAGATAATATCCGTTTTTTAGAAAGAAATTCTTTAAGTGTGAAAGGTCAAAACTATGAGATGGTGAGCTCCTACTATACACATCCTCTTCCCGACCTTCATGTACGCTTTGGTTTCTCAAATGTTAATGCTAGAAAAGAATAAATTCACCACTCCAATTGCATATGCGCCTAACAGGTCATTTTGTATAGTGACTGACCCTTGCTAAAATTCTGCATGTTCCTTTTTAAGTGCCATCATCAAGGTCTTTGTCTTTGTTACCATGCTGCCTTAAACTTCAAAATTGCAACAAACAATTTTCCTTTGTCACGACTGAAATGCTTTTACATACCTCTTATATGATATTTCTCATGTGCTTTAGATTCCATTAATTGTTTGTGATTGCAGGCACCTCCTCGTGCTGATGTGGTGAAGAGCTTGAAAAATGGCATAGTAGTGAATTTGTTGGGAATGGGAGCTGCTATTCTCGGTATGCAAGCAACAGTGGGATTATTGGTTGCAAAGGCTCTTACTTCTTCTGCAAATCCTTATTACCAGGGAATTTCCCCTGGTTACAGTCCAGTCCTTGCATTGGACGTATTTTTGGTGCAGGTACAAATCATATTCTCATTTTCTTATTGCAAATCTCTATTGAAGATTAACTTATCCAATTCCCAAGTGCAAACTTCCCACAATAAGATCATAAGAAAAGCCATATTAAGAAATCTTGGTGTTTCTTGTTCTAAATGTCAAATTGGATCTGTTAAATTTATCAGTCAAGTTCATAGACAACTAAAACAAGTAAATTAAGAAAAAAAAAAGAATAAATTAAATCGGACATATTTTATAACAGTGCTTACATTCTAAGTGTTTCCTTTACCTTCATCCTTGGTACTACTCATTTGTCAATTTTCATATCTGAGAGAGTGGGAAGAATCTTTTATTGTTAAAAGAAAAGGAGGGATTTCTTTTGTGCTTTTCTAAAATCATGTCGTGTCGAATAGAAGAAATGGCTGCCTTTGTGAAATGGAGTTGATAAGAATAACCTCTCAAAATAATGTTGTACAAAGGAAATCACAAAGAAAATAAAAGGATCTTGACTCGCCAAAATTGATAAAACTGCCTTTCCTAATTAGCCACTGTTGTTAAAACACTTGAATGTTGTTTCTTTTCTGATTTATATCAGTCATTCAATATGAAAATTGAGTAGACCTCTGTTGCTCCCTTTTTGATTTACCTCAATGCATCTCTGTTGGGTCAATAATGGACTTTTGAAGTAGTTATGGATTGTGAATGATCCTCTAAATATGGCAAGAAATTATGAAAAGCCAAATGTACCTTATTGCACATAATATTTTACTTGTGCAAGAAATACAGATTAAACATATAACCAGGCAATTAGTTTTGGTTAAATAATATAATGGACTGTCAAACAGTTGGAAGGTTCAGAAATTGTGTCCAAAGCATTGAGGCAACAAGGATGATAACTTGTTACAGAGACATTGGAAAAACAAGCGATAAGTTATTTTGTGATATAAGTGATGTCATCAATATTGTTACTATACGAATAAATAAAGGAAAAAGCATCTTTGGACTCCTGGACTCTTGAACAAATCATGTTTTGTTCATGAAGTTTCTGAATATCTATTGTTCCACATTGACGACTTATTTTATGGTAAAAGTAATATTGATGAGAAATTCATAAATTGCTGTTCAGAAACTTATGCTCGTAAATTATTGAAGCTACATAAAAGGAACAATTGATTTTTATGCTCCTAAACTTTCCAGTTTTATCTGTTAAATGCTGCAATTTTTTGAAAGGGTGCGAGTTTTTAGCAACTTGTTAAAAAAATTCCCAAATTTTATTTTTTTCCATAAGAGAATCCTTCATGTGAAACAGCAAAAATTAAGAGCTTAATAGACAAAAATGGCAAGCGTAGGAACCTCCAAAATGGAATTTCGATGAAAAATAAAAATTTGTGGAGTGGTTGCTAATGTATTGTGATGTATGTAACTATGTATATCCCCATATCATCCTAAGTTCTTGGGAAAATTTCTTTATACAGTTTTAAGTGGGGATGCATGGTCTGATACAAGTTACATGATTGTTTTTATTCTGATTATCTTATTTCTATCATACAGGCATCAGCAAACACCATCCTTTCTCATTTTCTGGGGCTTGTTTTCTCCTTGGAGTTGTTGCGCTCAGTGACATTACCAGCTGTAGAAAGTATTCCTGTCCCAAGAGTTGCATAATATCTTTCTTGTACCAATTGCCAGGTGAAAAAATTGATTTTGCAGCTGAAATGTAGAACCTTCACTTTAAGGTTTACTCAAATATGGGAAAAAGAAAATGTGCGTTTTTAGTTTAAGGTCTTGTAAAGCACCATTTGAGTGAAATTTCATTGATTTTAAATATTTGAGTTAACCTACCGATGACAAATTAGAGCTCCAATGCACAGTCTGTGTAAGCCTGCAAGGGTAGGTCCATTATCATATCATGTATGTTGCCAATCTGTTAATAAATCTCATCAAGAAAGAGAACTTTGTGCGAAACCTCTGTTACATTTGTGCTGGAATGTTTTGTTTTGACTAGTCTTGAGAAATCTGCTGGCAAAAATACTCCCACTTGATTTGCGAAACCGATTGGAAGAAACAGCAACTAGTAGGTGAAAAGCAAAAGCTATTTGCCTGCAAGTAATGCGATTAGGTGTAAAGTTGGGCATCCAATTCAGGCATGGAGAAAGAATTATCACCGTTGGATTAGTATTGCTATAATTGCTACCCAGCTTTCCTTATGGCCTTTAGGAGGAATAAGCCTTCCATTTTGTCTTTGGTTGATGATTTAGATTACTGTCTGGTTGGACACTCGGTCGAAATAACTTGCCAATTTGATTGAACTGATTCAAAATGATGAAGAATTTTTGTTTTAACAGCCAAAAACGTATTGTAGATTGGTAAAATTTGAATGTGGAGCCTACTTTAAAATAGCCTCACTGTTACCATTCATTGAGTTAATGAAACTGCCAAACTGGTTATTTGGAAAAATAAAAAATTTTTATTGCCAAAATTTGTTCAGTTCACTATTTAAATAACATTATGGGTTACACAGGAAATAATAACACAATATCACTATATTTCTTTGCTCTTCTTCAAACAAGATTAGCTAAATTTATTACAAACGCCTAATGTGTCAGATTCATGACTAGATTATGAAGTTTGAAGTCCAGGCCTCAGCTTTAGGGCATTATATTGTAAAGGTACTTTTGTGCATGTTAATAACCCACAACACCTGCATGATGAAAGAAGAAGTTATAACGTGAATTCAACATGCAAAGCATAAACACAATTTTGAAACGTTTAGCTTCAATTTCAGTTGGTTAATGATTAGAGTAACAACTAAACTTATGATATTAAATAACGTTAAGAAGAGCTTTAAAAATAAATAATAATAGTGCAAAAATCCTTTATTAGGAGCATCTTCATCTCCATTGATTCTACATATCTTGCATGTACCCAAATACATCAGCTCAAGAATTTACCTTGATAGCATCCCATATGTGGTTCCTCTGGAGTTGTGGCACTTTCCATGTAAATGCTCTTGCACTGGACAAATATTAGGATCACGACTAATTTTCCCAAGATGCCTTGAGAATGACAACACAACAATTCTTCTAAAAGGTAACTTTCATCTTTTCTCCATTTCCTAATCCCACATCTTAGTTTTTTGGTTCCCCCCTTGCACTTTTTTCTTCTCGTTAATAGTGTTTGTATTCTCCTTTTTCTTCTTTTCCTTTTCCCAAGGAAATCCTGCAAAAGGTTTTGGTTAAAGCTTCACAATTTAGACAGTTGAAATTTATCATTGGAAATCTGCAGTTAATCATGCCTATCAATTGAAAGTCCTACTTATGGAATAGGCCAGTCCATCGGATGTTACATGTTAAGATGAAACAAGTGAAATACACAGACTATTTCTATATTGTCATGGACACTGATGAAAGGGCCTTCAAAATATAAACAGGCTACTTCAGTATCTTTGATATGCTCATTTTATGTTGCATGTTTTTTTTAATCATAGCCCTACACTCCAAATTATAGAACACATCCATCTCAATCACCATTTTTTATTGATTTTTATCTTCTGCCTAATAGAAATGGCACAGCCCTCTGATGGAGGTCTTCCATATTCAACTGTTACTAAAAGGTATAGCTTTCACACTCAAGGAAACAAAGGGACACCAAAGAAAATGGAAAGCAAACTAGCTGCACATACTTTTCAGCAAGTCAAAATGGCATATCTCACCATGATGAAGAATTTTTACCACATATGCTTAAAGAAGACAGACCAGCAAAGCAAAAACATTCCAAAAGCCTACACATGCCTTGATCTAAATTAGAAGCAACCAAACAAGCAAAATCTATTCCAATTTAGTGAATACCTGCAGCAATTTCTCTTACATCATGATCTCACATAAACTCAAATTATGGTGGAATTGGAATATCATCTGGTGGCAAATTTTGAATTGTTCAGTTGCTAGAGGAATAGTAGAAGTACCAATTGAAGTATTTTGTTCTGATGCGCCAAATGAGAGGTAGGATCTTAAACCCCCTTTCCATGTCCCCGACCTGATGCTTCACAGGTGCTATAAATACATGTTATTGGACCTTGGCATAGAACCCTACCCGTTTCCCAATTTGGTTGAATTCCCTGCATACCTATAACAAAAGATAAAAAGTTGAGAACCATCAAGTAAAAGCAACATTTTACAAATGGTAAAGGACAATGGATTTAAGACAACCATATTAATTTATGTTTAATTTATAGAATTTATAACACCAACAAACCTTTGGAGAGAAAAAAACTAAGCTAGCAACACAATTGAAAATGCAATACCCATGAAGCCAAAGAAACTTGACGAGATCCAAATCATTGAGAAAAGGAGATGACATCTTGCAAAACTTTTTTGTGATCTCATTAAGGTTTAGTAACTAAAACAAGAAGCAGATTTGCAACAAAAATACACTGAGCAGATTCTGCAGAAACCAGATATGCAAAAACCAGAATGTGCAGAAACCATATCCCACAGAAATCAGAACTTGCAAAACACAATCTACATAATTTCTCATGCTAAATCAGCAGCAAAAGATTGCCCTGCTTCCATCTCACTACTAAGAAAAAAGAGGTAAAAACAACTTAAAAGCCAAGCTTTGAGAGATCATTGAATGTTATGACTTTCTGTATTTCAATCCCATGTACCAGAGGTTTGGTTAGGATTGGAATTAAATAATGTCATGCAATAATCTTAAAAACTTAAGACGAAAGTATACAATGCTAAAGGATTTCTTAGAATAGCTGTTGAAGCTGAAAAAACGACTTGTAAAATTTCGTGAAAACCTATAACATTGAAATGTAAACAATCCAAGTACCCATAAAGAAGACAACAGAAATTAAAAACTCTTGTCATGCAAAATGAATTAATCATGTGAACAGTTTCAAAATATCTTGACAATAGTAAGTGCAGTGGTAGTTCTACACCTTAACAAAAGAACCTAAATACCTCTCAAGTCCATATAAATATTAGAAGACACAAGAAAAGTACTTTACCTAAGTTTAAAAATAAATACTCAGAGAGGCATGCAAGGAAGGCCACCACAAGGAACAACAATTAAACATGCTCATGAGCCCTAAAGAAAGCCTCTACAATATCAAGATGCGTTAGCAAATATGGCAAGTCTGACATCCAAATCATTCAAAATAGCAATACTTAGGCACATTACATGACCACATAGTTCCGCCACATAGTTAGATTCTAATGAAGCCTCTTCACCTACAATACTAGTTCAACTGGAAGTGCTATTTCCCCTTTTTGGGAAAATGCCCTCAAACTCTTCAAACGACTGCATTGATCACCATTTTAACATCTATATACAAAAGAAAGAGCCTTTATGCCGACAATGGCATGAAGGGGCTTATTAAGACATTTCCAAAGAATTATCTGATTCAATAGCAAGGGATTCAATAAGAGCCAGGAGAAGAGAAGATTTGATCAAAAGAAAAAGTAAGACCATAAAAATTAGGAGATTTTTCTGGACAAAATGGTGAGCAACTAGCCAATTCCCTACTACTTCAACACTTAGCAAAAGATCAAAAGCCAGTATCCCCATCGGGAACCAAGATTCTTTGCAATGTTAATATAGTCATGAAAGCAAATGCAAAAAAAAAGGTGTCGAGCAGTAAGATTGCATAACCAAGTTTCACAAGGATTATTAAGTGGTATTAACTATGAAAGAATTAAATCAGTTCCTTTTTTCTTGAATTTTACAAAAGCATAGGGCGTGCTTTTTCATTCATAACCAAATTTCAAGTTTACTTGGCACAATAAGGACTGATTTTTGAAATTGCATCAACCAACAAAAGGAGATATTCTTTATGACAAAACTGAGTCTCATTCACAAGCTCAACAAATAAATCCACACCACAAATGAGAGAAATAGAGATGAAAACAGTGAAAAATCGCACCTTGCAGCCAGATTAGACCTAATAGGAGAGAAATTTGAAGATGGATTACCAATATGCACTGAGTAAGAAATCAAAACCTACAAGTTTATGCTATCTAGGATTAGGATTCGGAATAAATTCACTCCATTTGCATCTTCTGGTAATACGACTGATAAAGTGAGAAAAAGAGAAGTGAGAATTAACCTAGCTTCCAGTGAGCAACATTGCAGAGAGCTTCTTTGAGTGTGTTTCATCCATCCTTTCTAATCAAATGATTTTTTACGAAATGGAATGGAGGAAATTAATGAAAAAATGCCTATAGAATCAGAAAGATTCAATTCAAAAAGAATGATAATCAGATTAAGTGAACTTTCAGGAGTAAAAAAAATCTTGACTTCCAAAACTGCATCTAAAGGGGTACAGAGGAATCATCAATGTAGTTTCACAAGCAATCGAATTTTTGATCTAAGGTTCCTTGCTTCTTTATGGAAACCAGAATAATGAAGACCATCAATCACAGCCCGCTTAACTGATGGAAGCATTTTCATGCCACTTTTTAAACAAGAGAATAAGAGCTTGGATGCACAAAGGAACCTTCTAGCCTTGCAAAGATTGTGGATTAAGGAAGAGTAGGTAAATGAATCCGCAGCCTCCATTGATTCAAACTTTTTCAAAGCATGATCAATCTCACCAGCTTTGCCCAACCCATCAATCACAGAATTTAAAGCAACCAAGTGCGAATGTAGACCCATCTCCTTCATATGCTGTTGTGCCCCCTGGATATTACCTGTCTTACACATATTATCTATCAAAATTGTGTGTGTATACTCATCACATTCTAACCCTCCTTTTTGTATTTCACCAAGCAATTGATATACAGCTTCCACGTTACCTTCTTTACAATACAAATTAAGTAGCGTATTATAAGAAACTAAATCATGCTCAACACCACTTCTCACCATCTTCTCCATATAATAAGTTGCCTCTTTGATCCTACCAATCTTGACTAAAGCTCCTACTACAGTGCAATATGCAAAGCCGTCATAAGTATAACCTTTATCACTCATCTCTTGCAATATCTCAAGCGCTTGTTCAAAATTCCTAGATCTCAAGCAGAATTTCAAAACCGTAGTATAAGTTACGGCATTTGGCGCATAACCAGATGCTGCAAGCTCTTTAAGGATTCTCCTTGCTGTCCCCAATCTCCCAGCTTTACAGAACCAACTAAGAAGAATATTATAAGTAACCAGTCCTGGAACAAACCCATTCCTTTGTAAATCCCGAAGCCACCTAAGTGCATTATCCGTATAACCATTCATGCAAAGACCATTAATCATAATATTAAAAGTAGTCGGACATGGGAGTAAACCATGATAAAAAATACCTTCAAAAAACCGGGTTGCTTCTTCAGGATTTCCTAACTTAAAGAAGCAATGAATCAAAGTATTAAAAGTCCAAATATCAGGAACAATACCCAATTCGAGCATTTCATCAAACAGTTCACTGGATTTCGAGAATAAGCAGTTTCTAGCCGCACCAGCTATCAAAGAATTGTATGTAACAACATCTGGGTTTATACCAGCTTGTGTCATTCTACCAAGAACTGAATATGCAGCAACAAAGCTATCCAGACGAGAGTAAGCATCAATTAGAGAATTATAAGTAACAACATCAGGTGATAGCCCTAATCTTATACCATCAATAAGGGCTGATTCTGCTCTTTCTAATTGTCGTGCTCTTCCAAAAGATGCTATGCATATGTTTAATAATCTGGTGGACAGTCTACAAGCCATTCTTTGTAAAGTTTTTCTATCAACTAATAATAAGAAACTAGAAAAGAGGAAAATTGCGTACTAACAACGATTATGAAATTGATGGTATTGTTAATCTTCTTCTTCTTCTTCTTCTTCTTTTTCTTGAACTTGGGCGATTAGTATTTTCCTCTTCTTCTTTAATTTGTGCAATCGGAAGTATTTCTGTCGAAGAGCAGTATTATTCTGAATCTGAAATGAAAATATAGAATGGTCCCGGGCAACTAACCTAAAACGCTGTAGTTTCAATCTGAAACTATACCGTCTAATAGCATAAATACTTATTCTATTAATAAAAACCATTGCTCTATGCCATTGATTAAGAATAGATTAGATTATTTTTAATTCTTTTTTAAATCAATTATCAGTAATAAATATTAACATGTTTAAAATTCAATTTCTAATATAAAATATGGATAAAATTATAGTACAGAATAAAAAAATTTTGTATCTATAAAGAAGTCTTTTTACACCATTAGATTTCAATAACTTTTTATATCAACCGTTAGATTTGATTAAAATAAGAATTCTTATTACTTGTAGATTAGGTTAACAATATTTTAATAGTAAATTAAAAAATAATATATTAACAATTTTTTTTTTATTTTTATAAATATAATAAAATTTTCAATCTTAATATTTCTTCTAAGGACTCGAAATAAAACATTTGTTCTCCTATCCAACAAAATATTTAATTTGTTTTTCTCCTTAATATCATAATAAGCTAACTATTAATAAAAATAATTTAATATTATCACTATTAAAATAATACAATCTAAAGTATTTTGTAACTCATAATTATTATATTAGGAAAAAACGTGTATTGACAATTTATTTTATGTCAATTTGCCTTTCACAATTAGATTCATATTAAGTATTGTTATTATTAAATTTATATTATTTTAAACTAAGATATAATTGGGCATCAAAATTATTTCAAAGTTCTATATCATTATCAATTAAAAGATACTGTTATTCTCTAAAAAAATATAGTTATACGTGAATTATAATTTTTGTTACTAGAAATATGATATGAATTTTTATTATTTTTATAGATTTTTGAAATTCATAGCTCTTCTTATAATTTTTTTTTTATTTTTTTAACATATAATATTTTTTTTATAAAAAGAAAAGTTATTGAACCATTTCAGAAAAGTTATTGAACCATTTCTTTTATATTAAGAAAGAACGAATAAATTTGTACTATTTAAAAAGAATAGTCTATCCAAAAAATTTTGAAACAAAATATATTTGAAAATAACTTACAAAAAAGAGATAATCAACCTGTTATAACAGATTTATTTACCACATGTTATTAAATTGTAAATTATGTATCCGTACATAAATAAGTGTTTTTGTTTTGCTCGTCATTTTGTAGGGGGTGAAATCCCTAGATATTTGTTACTCATCGGAAATAAATGATGATTGTTCCTAAAAAAAAAAAAAAAAAAAAACCTAAAAAAAAAAAAAAAAAGAAATAAGTGTTTTTATATAGTAGGAAAAGCCATAATATATATTATGTCAATCATGCTGGACCATGTAGTTAATCTTCTTGCAATCTTGTAAAATATACTGAGATATAATTATTTTTACATATTTTAATAAAAAAAATTATAACTTAATTAGTTTATAATTCTTACCAAATTCATTGTCAGGCATGACCACAGTTCTAAAATCACCGGTTCCAATTATAAAAAATGTGGAACCATAATTAAACCGCTTTTAGATAGTTTCTAAAACGGTTTTGGAACCGCCAGTTTCAGTTCTATTCCAGTTATGAACCGCAATTAAATAATATATTTTAAAATTTTTAAAATAGTTTTTTAATTTGTAGCTTGAACAAATATTTATTATTATTATTGGAAAAAACTAAACCAATTTAATAAAATTTTTTAAAAATTACTTTAAAAAATTATAAAAAAATAAATTAAAAGTTCCTTAATGATATGTTTTTCACGATTTCAAATCGGAACCGAACTAAAATCTACGATTTCGGAATCAAAATTAGAGCCAATATTAATTGGTTCGATTTTAGTTCAGTTCCGATTTAAAACTAAAGTGTGGTCATCCCTATTGATATGAACAGTGTTTGACAATTCTACCCTTTTGATTACACACCAAAATTTTAATCTTTTATGCAAATATAAATATGGACTTTGCTGATCCACCTTCGCTAAGTGAGGATGACAATAGTTAGCCCATCCAATATCTAACATATCCATAAATCAATTGGCCCACGCTGCATTATTTTGTAAATTAAGATGGAGTGCATTGCATTTCTTAATTAACTCCATTTTATTAATTCATTAGGCGAAAAATCAAATTGTATTTCTTTGTGGGTATTTTAGTGAAAAGTCCAATGATCATGAGTCACAAGTGTTAATGAAATCTTGTAATGAATATTTGATTTATTCAGTTGGCTAAAGGAATTGAAAATTTAAATCAAGCAAATTAACTATAAAAGATTGAGGAATATCAATCTAATAAAAAATAGCATGAAGAAAACCTTGAAAAGAAAATTTATATATGGTGAGATACGACCACAGTTTTAGAACTGTCGGTTCTGATTATAAAAAAGGTGGAACTTGAATCAAGCTACTTTTAGGATTGAATATGATGTAATGTAATATGGTCAGGTAAAAACGAGTATATATTGAAAAGGAAAAAAAAAAAAAAAGTGAAAAGGAAAAAAAAAAAAAAAGTGTTGCATTTAAATAAAAAAAAAATTGAAGAAACATAAATATAAATATATTAGATATAAATAAGAAAAATTCAAAAGTTTAAAAGTTAATTGAAGTTATTTAACATGCGGAACAATGATTAGTAATTCTAATGAGTTTTAATGTGTGAAAAAAAAAATGTTATATAAATGTTTTTATGTATTTTAAAAATTATTTCAAAATTAGGATAATGATCTTGTTTTTCTTGTTAAATCAATTAATATCCTAATTAAAAAAATAAACATTTAAAATTTTAAAATGCTTAATTATCTATATGTATTTATTTTAATAAATTATATCAAATCAACTAATAAAATGTAATTTTTTTAGATGAATAAAATGTAATTTTTTAAATTGTCTATGAATAAGGTTATTTTAGAAAATTTTAAATTTTATTAAAGACACTATCAGAAATCTCATTATTCTCCAATTCACACATTTATTTACAGTATAGATTATTACTCAAATTGTATAATTAGTCAATATATTAAAATTTATAGTTTTTTTGTACATATTAAACTTTGCAGTTTAATAATATTTAAATATTTTGGAATAATCATAATTATAGAGTTCTATCACAATATCTAATGAGAACGTTGATAATCTATTTAACTTATTTAATTATAGAAAAAATAATACCACATCTATTCCATAATACTTGTTACATTTGGAATTCCACGTCATTAAAGAAAACCATTAAATTTGTCTAAGTTACAATAAATTATTGAGTAAATTGACTATATTACCCTTAATAATACTCCTATATCTAAACATCAAATAATTATTCACCATGTTCAAGGGTAAACATAGAAAAAAAAAATTATTACTCCTTGAAACTACAGATGTGACAAGTATTTTGAAACAAACTATTTTCTTAAATGTGACAAGTATTATGAAAAAAATTATTACTCCTTGAAACTACAGATGTGACAAGTATTTTGAAACAAACTATTTTCTTAAATGTGACAAGTATTATGAAACGGAGATAGTAATATATTTCATATTTTCTCAGCATTTAATTTTAAAATATCACATTATTAAATAATTTATTGGGCTTAATATGAATTTAATATAATCATCGATTTCAGTATTTAAACTCATTAGTATGTTGATGATCTTTTAAATATCAGAACAATATATAATACATTTTTTATCTTATCAGAAGCAATATTCACAGCAATATACAAGTGCTATTCTCATAATTACTCTTTATAGGAACAAAGATTTTGGGAAAATTTTTATAGTTATGCCCTTTATATTAGAATCCAAATTGATTGATTGTAGGCCTCGAAAAATGAAAAGTACAAAGAATTATTTATTTTTGAACTATTACTTCATTTAATTTTGGAATATTATTATATTTAGCAATCATTATTATAATGTGGATTATTGCTTTATTCATATAAATTCGTATACAAAATTGTTATGAACTTATCATTTTTACTCAATTATTTTAAGTAATCATTTATATAGTGTTGTAAAAGTGTCGAATCATATGTTAATTTTTTTAAAAAATACATATTGATATGAATTATCTTCAATTAAATAGCAACAATCAAAAGTATTCATTGAAATTATAATATATCATAAATGAAAAAATGGAAAAAATATATTCGTACCCCTATGTTTTAACTAAATTAACTACTCTACTCTTACATTTTTAGAAAATACTCTACTGTACACTCATGGTTTAAGTCTATTACACTGACAAGTGCTTTTATCCATTTTTTTCATTTTCAAAGTGCAAGTCAATAAAATATTTGGCAATCCAATAGGAGAGAATGAAATATATGTCAAGAATTCCCCTTTCACTATCAACTACTAAATATATGTCAAGAATTCCTCTTTCACTATCAACTACTTCCTCTAATTCATGGAAATTTCTTGATTTTCTATGAATTTTCTTTTCTCTTTCAAAACGGTTGATAATGGTGAGAGGTTGTACATGTGAAACGATCCAAAAAATATTTTACAAAGATTTTTCATTTAAAAATTTAATCATAAATTCTAACAAATGAAATTCAATGGAAAATATTTTATTATTGTTAAACTAGACCTATAAACTAGTTTGAATTTTTCGAAAACCAAGTGAAAACCCGTAAACCGAGTCAAATCACCGAATTAGATCAAATCGGTTCTAATCGAACTGGAACAGTATAGAAACCCCATATTTTTTTTCTTCTTCTTCTTCCTCTCATGCGCGCCCGCTCACCTCTCTCCCTTTCCCTCCGTTTTTCGGCCATCGGCCACGAAATCTGACAAACAAGCACTCTACCTTCATCCTCTCGTCGAAGCGAGCTTCTCTATGGGTTTGGTTCACGTGATAGGTGCCTGAATCGAGAGAGATTGTGGTTGGAAGATTGCATCATTGTGCGATGGAGTTTTTCGACGAAATCTCATCGTTCCGTTGACTTCAAGTGCTGGGATGGTCTCAATCGACACCTAGTCGCCTCCTGAACAATTTCCCTCCATTAAT